TAATCAGAAGATCCCCAGTAATTAAGAAATGTAATTTTGTGCTTATAATCGAGCTGTAATTATAAAAAATACGGAAGACCAACCAGAATATAATTAAGTTGCGTTATTTGAGTTAAGCATTGTTCTCCGCTGTTAAGGCCTTTTACTTTTATGTAAACACGTGTGAAGTTAATTTGATTTTTCAATTTCAACTGAGAAGGGTACCTACAAGTATCAGTATCATCTTATGAAATTTATATGATCTTATTTTTATATTAATCTCAGTTACGACATTTTTCCATAAATGAAATATCAAAATTAATAATAAAATGAATACAAATAACAGTAGAATGTAATAAATGTACATAAAATACTATAATTTTATGTACAATTCTGATAAAATTTCATAAGAAAGGTACCTATAAATTAATTAGATACCTTTAAGAAATATGAAATTTAATGTCACTCTTAACAGTTTTATTTTAATTTCTTTAGAATATATTTCCCATAAAGCATCATAAACGTAAAGGTGAAAGCTAAGTACAAAAAAAAAAAAAAATAGACCGCTGAAAGTTTTTGTTAAAAATAACGGGGTAAATAATTTGTTCACGTAAATGTAAATTATTTCACTTTTCTCCTTCCGTAGAACAAATTAGCCTCCTGGAATTCGTAAATATATCATTCATCACATGTCAAGAGACGCGAAAGATTATGACCTGCTTTGTTTTATTTTCAAATTACATCTTTTTGGCACAAAAGCTAAGTTAAGTTTGGTTCAAAATATTTTAAATAAACATTATAATTTCTGATTTACTTAAAATAAGTTTTGAAAAAATGATAATTGATATTTAAAAAAATTTCAAAGTCAGATTTCCAGTTTTTTTTTAAATGGAAAAAAAATAGTCAATTTTGCTGACTCAAAAAAACTAGATTTTTAACGAAAATTTCGGAAGTGCTAGGAACGATTAAAAATGGAAAAAAATACCCCAAAATACTTTTGACCTTTCCTCTTAATAATAACAAACATTTAGACGATAAAATTTTGTTTTCGTCAAGTTTATTAAAAAACATCATGCTATGCTCTTTTTTTAGCGATCTCGTGGAGATGAAAGCAAAAAAATTACCTACAAAATGGAAGCACATAGGCATTAGAGGACATATTATTTACATGCAGAAATGAATAAATGTAGATTTATTGCAACTGATGGAAAAGATTTTCTGGACAGTTGGAATGGTTCTCCTGCATTTCCTCTTCTGATGATGATGATTTACTGTTTGAATTTGCTTATAAGCCTCTGCTACAGCCAATATTCCTGGAACACTCCATATCCTGTCATCATTTACACAATCCCATCCAAAAAGGTCATAAAAAAAATAATCATTTTTACCTTTGGTTGGAATGAAACTTTTGATTACAGCATCAGATGGAGATGTAATATTAATGACTTGGTCAATGTAAAAATTGGAGTAATAGTATACTGCAACCCATTGGCCTTTGCACTTATAACTAAAGGGAACTTCAAGTAGTTCTTCTTAATCAGAAATGCTAGAGTTATTGAAATACTCAGATTCACCAAGTAACTTTTCTTTATTACTTTAAAAGTGGAGATGAAGTTCCATTAAAAGTTATATGACTGTAATGTCTATTCTGTTCATCAGACAGTTTTTAACTATCAGCGTACATTGCAAGGAACTTAGTCTTTTTCAGCCTGCTTCACCTACTTAAAAGAAAAGTACTTCTCAGAGTGTGAACTTAATTATTCACTGAACAGATGATTAAATGTAAATTTTATTAAATACCCAGGTAGGGGTCTCTGGTGTGGGAAGCAATAGTACATAATTAATGAACAGATACTCATTTAAAAAAAAAAAAAAAAAAATTGCTATGTTCTCTTCCATAATGGATTAAGGGAGAAAAAAATTATGAATAGACAAGTGTTTTTGCAGAGGTAAAAAGAACTATAAAATGTCTTCAATATTTTTATTTTATTGTTTCTAAGAAAATGTAACAATTTCATTTTAACCTCCAAAATAGGAATTAATAAATCATTTTAAAAAAACCAAAAGTAAACTGATTGCATTTTTAAAATTACCTAATTACATTTCAAATTTTTATGGACCCATGTAACAAATTTAAACTAAAATATATATCCACTTCAGTTTTATAAAATGTATCCAGTTTCATTTTTTGAAAAGAAAATGTAAATTAATTTTCATTTTAATCCCCCAAATCTCAAGAATTAGAGAAAATATTTGCCAGCTACAAATTTAAATGAAATGAATGGCTATGAAAAGGAAAACTGGACACTTAAAAAAAAAAAACCCAAAAAACCCTGTCTAGTATCAATTGATTAAACAAGTCTGATTTAAAATGGGATTGAGTTGATGATGTTCTTTCATTCAGCAATACAAATTTTGATGCGTCTGACCAAACTGTTTTTCATGAAATGAATGCTATATGCCCTCTTTTTGATTTGCTTGGACTTTGAATTGTATGAGCGCAAAGATATGGGACCCAACTGATTATTAAAGACGAGACATTGCTCTACAAGAAGGTTTAATTTAAATTTTTCTGGCATTTCTTCCACTAAAATTTTCAACTTAAAAAATCTTTTGTGAAAGACCACTTCAACCTCTATCATGAGCCCACCAACTTGATGAACATCTTTTTTTTTTTCTTTAAAATGGGACTATTTTAATCTGTGTAGAAAGATATAACTCTGCGTGCAACAATTTGGCATAATACCACTATGAAATTGTCAGCTTTGAAAATATGGGAAAAGAAACGCCCATCCTTGAAATAATGTCATATTTTGATGAGCCAGGGAATCAAAACTAATTACTACACACAAGAAAGAATTGTATCTTTACAAAGAGAAAAGATTAATTTTTTTAATGTACTAATTTTATCAAAATAATCTAGAAAATGAGATATTAACAGTTGAATTTGAAGGAAATTTCATTCTTTTGAAATGTTTTCACCTTGTAAACTAAGGCAGTTTGGGATACCTAATAGCATTTCTTTCAGCTTAAATTCTCTTGCTTTTCATCAGAACTTATCAGACTGTTATCCTACTTCAGTTAGTCAACAGTACTGATTGGAAATGCAGAATAAACTTTTAGTGAAACTCAAATTCATATCTGAGTTGTGAAGAAAAGCAAATGAAATTAAGATGAAAGAAATACAAGTCCAGGTTAATAATAAAATTTCTGATATAACTACTAATATAATCAAAAGCAGCAGAAATTAACATTAAAGAAATGCTAATAAAAATTATATTATGCTAGACTTATTAATTAAAGATTACTTGTAAAAGCCTGTAGCATTTTAAAAATTGCTATTTCTTCAAAATCCTATAATTTTCCTCTTTGTCATTTTTTTTTTTTTTTTTTAAACAAAATCATTTTCACTTTCCCTTCAGAAATTTTTAATATATAAAACCAATCAGCTTAGACAACTCTGAAGATTTTTTTTTTTTTTAACCAGTTTCTAATATATTTTCATTCTATAAGGTGCATATCTTGGTGACACATGCTCATCTTTCAGTCTGGCAGAACTTTAATAAAATTGGATTACAGTTTCCTAATTTCTTAGCTAAAATCTATTTAGACCATTCAAATCATAGAATAGCATTATTAAAAGAAATGGCTATCAAATGTACAAGCACAAATTTTTTTTATCTTACTGTCTTTTCATATTGTAATGATGAATTTTAATTATTGAAAAGAACTTGTTTCTTTTGCTGCAAGATAACATTCTTTGGGCATTGTTAAGAAGAAAAAAATCAGTTATGACCAACTTGTTAACCATCACTTGACACTGAGTAAATATAGAAGAGATTAGTATCAAGTTTTTAGTCATGTTGAATTTCATTTAAGGGTTTCATTTCTTAAATTGAAACCTTCACTAAAAATCTATCAAGCCTTTGTAATTTTGCATTAAATATCTGACCAAACACTGTCATATAAAAAACATAATGCAGTAACATTATTTTATATCCACAGAAGAATTTCTTTTAATTTATTTTATTTAAAATTCAATCAAACTCTTCCATGGTTTTTTGAACAGTAGTAGATGTTTATCCATTGTTTTGTGTTTAGAATTGGGTTTCCAATTCCTTCTAAAGTCTACTTCTGACATTGCCATGTAAACCCTGAAATTTTGTTTACTAATTATTTACTTTTTTTTTTTCTCCTTCTCAATAGAAGTGGATCAGTTCACACTCCTGCACGGTCTTTTGAACAGGAGTAAAGGTTTATACCTGTTTAGGATTGGTTTCCAGTTCCTCCTGAAGTTTTTTCATTCTCTTTCACACACAATTAGTGGCATCATTGTCTTGTTTAGGGTGAATTGATTAAATGGAGTACTGCTGCAATATCTGGACAGGATTTACCCAACCTCATTTTCCAGTCTTGATAGAGTTCAAAGTCATCTTCAAAGCCTTGTAGATGAAGAATTATTTTCCACTCTACAACCCTTTTCCCACAGACATAGTATTGCAGACTTCTCACTATTTCCTCTCATTTTAACCTGCCATGCCGCATACACTGGAACAAATCCCACCCATTCGCTTTGTATCTCGTTAGTAAGAAGGAAGTTCCATATAGACAGCAGACACTCAAGAGGGTGCTTCCTTGATCACAACAATCTTAATGAATTTAGGCTACATTTAACTGTTCTTCATAAACTGCACTCCTTAACTCATCAATCAGTAACTGTCTACCTTGAGTGACTCTTGGACCTGGTATAAATTTCATTTCTTGAATTGAGCACTATACTTGTTATATATTGGGCATTTCAATGTGGTGTAATAGCAAGCTTGTTTTGTCAGATCAATTACAACTGAGTAATATGAGCACACCTCAATGGATGATTTCTACTTTCAGCCTTGGGCCACATTTAATCTATGATTAGTAAATCACTACTTGATATATACTTTCCCCTAATTTCATATTAAAGGTAAAAGTCTAAGACAAAATACTATCTTAAAAAAAATTAATGCAATAACATTATTTTGCAGCCATTGGAAGAGCCTATGCAAGTGGATGCTTCTCCTGAAGAAAATGAAAATGTCAAAGATGGGCACACTATTGTAGAAAACACTACTTTGGTAAGTGGCAGGGAGGAAAATGTTTTGATTCTGTGTTTCCTGAGGTGTACCTTTTTAGTGAAAAACAAACAGCTCAAAACAATTTATAATTATTTTAAAAGAAAAAATTGCTGTTTTCAGATTTCAGAAACAATCCTGCATTGTTTTGTTTTTTCCTGACTTGCAAATTATATTGCTGCCCAAAGAGTGTACTTTTCATATTTTATTTGGCTGATTTAAAAATTCATAGCTCTTTTGTATATAAGTAAATTTATAGCATCTTTGTTCAATTATCAAAGTATCTTCCTTGTCTTTATATAATCCTGAATAGCCTATCTTATCAGTTACGCATAGAATCATTTTAAAAGGATTCTAATTTTGAGGGATATTTTTTTGTTATCTTGAACTTGTTGGAAGCCCTGCTCAATTAAGAAATGCTGTATATTGATTGATTTGATTTTTTTTATTATTTTATTTTATTTTTTTTTTACAGCTTATCAACCTTTTACAAGTTATTTAAAGCCAGAAAATATTTTTAGATTGTAAGGTTTTGGAAATAATGATTTACTGATGTAACTGTTTGGGAGAGAAGAGGTGAATTCGTATCTTTCCCAAGGGTATTTGCATATAAGTGAATAGAACAAACTCAGATGGAATTGGAGCTCGGCTCTCCTATTTCCAATTTTAAGCTGTTATCCTGAACTGACATCCAAGCTTACAGCAACTGGTATTCCCAAGTGGTTACCCATCTACATACTCACCCTGCTTGATGTTGCTTAACTTCTGTATTTGTAGAGTAATACAAGTGAGAGTATGAGGGTGAAAAGTCTGCAGAATATGCTCCATATGGAAGACTCTCTCATCTTTGACCCAGTATTATTTTTTATTGCATTTACAATGAAAGGATAGATATTATTAATCAGCACGCCCACCAAGTGTTCTCTTTCAATATATCAGTCAAGTGAGTCAGCTGCTCAATTTGTATTAACAGATTCTTTTTGAATAAAGTAGATTCCATTTAGGTTGAAATATTCAGTCCAGCCTCCAAGAGCCCTCTTCTGTATGAAAGTGATGTGAACTAAAAGATTTTTGCTTGCAGCCCTCCTGATTTTATGGTTGCTCCCACTCCCCCCCCCCCAAAAAAAAACCACTGGCAACAGGCCTGGAGATGTTTAAATGTTGCCTTTGACCTAGCCATGATTTTTCTTATTTTAGATATGGGTAAACTATTTTTCATCACCAGTGACTATCTTGTGTTTTAAAAAAAAAAAAAAATTACTTTTTATCTTGTTCAGCAAAAAAAAGAAAGTCAAGTATTTAAATACTGACAGATGTTTGCTTCCACAAGTCTTTGTGAAACTAACATTTAACCATAGTTAATGATGATTTTCCAAGCTGTATTTATTGCTTGTGTGCTGTAAGTGGAGCTAGTTCCCTCTTTATTTCAGATAGAAGAACTTGCTCAGTCCCAGGGATTCCAACCCTGCAGCTGCACCTTCCTCATTGCAGTAAGAGTCAAGGGGGTCAGTGTAATATTGATGTTGGCATGACAGTGGTCACAGGGACAGGACAAAATAATTTTTTTCTTTGGCCTATATGCATATGTGATGATGCAATTCTGCACATCACTGCACAAGTTGTGATGACATCAAGGTTGGCTGTATGCAAATACACTGGGTTTGCTATGTTCCACAGGGTTGTTTCAATATTAGAGCCGTGATTGACATCAACAAAGAATAATGACCAATGCTTTTCAAGGCATTGGTTGGGAAGTAACCAAAAAAAAAAAAAAAATCTGATTTCTCATTTAATTGGCAGTGCCTTCCTTCAATTTCAAGAAAGCGAAATTCTGGTATCTCACTAACATCCAGCTATGGAAAAGGGGCCCTTACACACTCACTACCTGACTCTCAGTCCTTTCACTGACCACTCATGTATACTAGCTGGGGTCCCACCATCCCTTTCTGTCCGCTTTTGTTCCACCAACTGGAAATGGGGGGGGGGTGCAGCTTTTGTGTGGTCCTTTTTTCAAAGGACTCTACTCTTACAGCTATCAAAAATTACTAACAAAATTAAAAGGTGTGCTGGAGACAGGATTCCTGAAAAATCCTGGTCATTAAATTGAGTTGAAAGGAAAAAGAATTTCTCTTCACCCCCTAAAGATGTGTGAGAAATCCTATTACTACACATACATGTGTGTATGGCACTACCCATTGCAAACTTTGTAAATTTTTTTTTTTTTTTTTTTAAATTTTTAAATACATACAATAGCACTATCTCGTTAATGTTTGCTTTAGTTCTTGACCACTGACAACCTCTTCTTTATTGTTTTTATGCACAACATGTAGATTAAATGCTGAAACTATCTCAACTTTTAAAAATATGACAAAATTATGTTTTCCATTTTCAGTGACAAAGGATGTCAGTCAAAGTTTTGTTACTTAAGTGCAGTGCCAAATGATAAAATTGCATAATGTCCCCCTTTTTAGAAATTTTCACTTTGTCTTCATTTTATACTTTGCACACTGTTGAAACTAATACTTGCCTCTAAGTAATTCTATTTTATCTCTGGGAATTTCCCATTATCCTCTTCTTGGACAACATAATTAGTATCATTATTAGTGAAGGTGTTTGTTCCCTTACCCTTGCCAGAAACATTTATGTTAGAAACAAAGAAAATGACTTAAGGAATGTGGGCAGTGATAAGAAAAGCTAGAATTTTAAAATTCAGTTAGTATTCTTTTACAATCGTTTCTTTCCTTTTCTTATGTTGTTGAATCTTAAATGATTCTTCCTTACTGGAATCAATTATTTCTTGTATATTCTTCAGGATCTTGACTCCTATGCCAAACAGTATGAAGGAATTGCCCGACTCAACCGGTTAATCTTTATTGCTGACCACTGTCCAACTTTGAAAGTGGAAGCTCTTCGGATGGCACTGGCTTACGTACAGACAGCACACGACACAAGCCTCTACCAACAAATACACAGACGACTGCAAGAAATGTGAGTGGAATTTGTTTAATGAAAATAGACATCTTTTTATCTATGGCATTGAACATGATTTTTTTTAGAAAAAATTGTCAGTAATTTTACAGTAAGAATGAATTCCTGATGATTCAGCTGAGGTGTATGTTGTATTCTAGGAATATTACTTGGATATCCATGACTCTTATAAAGTGAATGATAGAATTCCTTGTTATTCATAGAAGTATATTAAATAACTCATGAAAATTCATTACTAATTCTAGCATACCAGGGTTTTGGAAGTGGACCAGAATAGCAGAGGTTTTTTTTTATTATTTATCTTTTATTTTTTATTTTTTCCACTTGCTGACCATGAATATATATATATATATATATATATATATATATATATATATATGGCTAGCTACTTGTGTTTATACAATACCCACAAAGCTCACCTGTGGTTTATACTACAAATATACTGAGTGAACCTTAGTTGCAGTTTATGGAAGAGAATGCATAATCTGTCATAATCAAGTTTGAGCGGCAATTTGTGACTTTGTGCTAGCACAACCATTGAGGGCTTCCAAATAGTTCCATTTATGTAATTTCACTCACAAGGCATGGGTCAACCTGTGGAATGGTTTTCAGGCACTCTCCAAAGGTGCTGCACAATGCGATCACCTCTCCAGTGCAGTATCATTAAGAAGTCACTTTCCTAGCAGATTGACCATGGTTTTTATTAAATTCGACTTTTTATGTGAGAGAGGAGTATAATAAAAAATTAAATAGCCACTTCATGTTGGTTGAATATAACAGAATTTGTGAGTTTGTATGTTGATTGGGTAGATCTGTCTACCTAAACAATAACTAGTGTAACCTAAATTCTTTCACTCTCACACACAATATCCACCAATCGATATACTCACTACCAGAACAGCAACATGCTCAAGTTCTTTTCCATGATGACTTGTGATTTCATGCTAGCACAATGATGGATGGCTTCCAAACCATTCTTTCTACCCAGATTTCACTCACAAGACTTGGGTCAACTTTCCAAAGGTGTCTCACACTGGTATCACCACTCCAGACTAATAACATTAAGAAGTCACCTTCCTGGAAAATCAACCCTGTTTAAATTTGAAACCAAGTCCCATGGTCAGAATGTGAACATTATTATAACCACATGTGTGCGTGTGCACATACACACAATGTTTCATTAAAGGCTACTGATAAGGTACTGCTATTAAGCTTTTTATTTAATTTTTCTTGTGTTCTTACAAGTGTTTTCTTTTCTGGACACAGTGTGTAAAAACTGTTCAAATGTTCTGCATTTCGTAGCGCTTTTGGCTATACTTTTAGTCATAATAAAGTATGATTTTATTTTTCCTTTTTAACTGAATGTATGGGTTGTGTGTTCATTTCATAGTTAATATTATTGAATGTTTGCTTTTTCTTTTTTAATACTAAGGCTTCCATTATTTTTAATCTGTTTTTTTTTTATGTGGATGATGTTATTATGCTTGTATTTTCTATTAGTATGTTTTGGATGGAGTCTGGTAAGTTTGTGTGTGTTTAAATAGGTTCTGATGGATGGAGCTGTAATTGAATAGGTGTTACGCAAGTCATCTGGAGAGGCATGTAGTAGTGTAACTCATGTAATTATGTGTTCGGTTTGATCAAGAACACAGTTTCTTAAGGGGCATTTGAACTCATAAATAATGTTGGTTCTTTGTAGTTGTGATTTTGCATGTGTATTGTTATTTTTGTGGATAGTTTAGCTGTTTTAAATTTTTTTTAAGTGTTGATACACTTAGTTTTAAAGGAATTTTTGGTTCTGCCGATATAAAATTTTTTAACTGTTGGATTTTCTCTAGATGAAATTGTACTATGGTAAACAAAGAATTCTGTTAGATGTCCATTTTGTAATGGATAGTCGTTAGGATTTCTACAATTACAGAAGTTGGTATCATTATTGTTTGTTGCTTTGGAATGGCTATTGTTACTTGGGTTTAAGTATTGATTTAAAATTTTATTATTGTGTTTTTTAATAATTTTTTCAAGGTTATCAGTACAACTATAACTTAATTTAAGTGTATTTTTATTAAAAATCTTATTAAGAGGATTACTTCTGGGGAAGTGTTTCTTAATTAAATTGAGAAACTTCTGACCTAACTTAGTAATAACCATTTGATTAAATGGGAGTGTGTACCAAATGATTTTTCTGTTTCTTTTTTTTTTTTTTTTTCATTAACACTATTATGTTTACTATATTTAATGCCAGGGCACTTATAGCCACTATTTTTAAGGCAGTTGTAAAATTTGCTATGTTTATAAAATACATCTTCACTGGAAGAGTTATTACTAATTCTATATTCTATGGAAGAGGGTATGTATTTAATTATGTACAGAGGGTGATTTGAATTTTGGGTGGCTATATAATGGATTTGCATTAGTTTTCATGTGGTGTTGGTATGTATTATTAAGTCTAGTGTTAAATCCAGGAAATCTACTTTTTAAAAAGATTTGTGTCGATTTTAACTTTTATTTATATATATATATATATATATATATATATATATATATATATATATATATATATATATATATAATAATGGATACAGAATCCTTAAAAATCCATCTGGTTATAATTTATTTCATGGACATTACATCCATCTCCTCAGACCAGTATTTTGTGTTATATATATATATATATATATATATATATATTTTCAAATTTCCATAATATAATTTTGCCTTATTTGCTCCCATAAATCACTCCCCCACTCTTGTCTCCATTAACTATTCCTTTTCTTTATGCTATATTAATTTTCATTTCTAAAATTTCCTCCTTTTAGAATTTTCCACTATTTTTTCTTTTTCTTTAATTGCTTTATGTGCTTTGTTACCTTATATATTTGTTTTTTATATATATATATTTCCTTATTTTTAATTCCCCCAAATAGTCTTTATAGAATAATATTCTCTAATATTTTATTTCATACACTTTGCCCCCCTTTAAAATAGATATTTACCACCTTACCTGATCCCTATCTGTTGCCTGTCATCTGACTTGTATATCATAACTCTGATTCAGGTATTTTTGGCAAATTTTAGGTTGACACTCTCCAATATTACTTCCTGTATAATTAACATTTACTTTTTGCATCTTCAAATTCTATAGACATGAATTTCATTTCATATCATATTCGATCACTTTTATTGTCTGCCAAAATAGTCTATTTTCAACATGAGTTTAAAAAGCTTTTTCTTGATTGTTTATTTATATATATATATATATATATATATATATATATATATATATATATATATATATATCAAAAAAATGAACAGTTGTTGGTCTTATCCACAGATTTGTCTTTCTTGCCTTTGCTATTATAGTTGCTTTGGCTTCTATGACATTTGTTGTTTTGCTCTGTTCTTATTTTTATTACAGTTGTTGTTGGGAATTTTGTTAGTTCTGTTTATTGAACAACCAAAATTAAATGCAGTCAATGCCAAAATGACAACTGATTTAATATATTGAATTGATGATTCGGCCATACTTCAAAAATAGTTTAACATTTAATTTGAAATCATAATTTAATAATTTATTATTTTTATCTGCGATCAGCGGAGAGTAATTTGTCAAATGGATGTTTCTAGAAATTTGAGTATAAAATGCACAGTGGATTTTTTTTTTTTTTTTTTTTATCTATCAGGAAATATGGTTTATTTGAAGCTTTTTTGTATGTGTATAAATAATTATTTTACCCCTTTTCTTTTTGTTTAGTCCTTCCACGTTACCAGATGCAGTAGCCAACCTTCCTCCTCTGGACAATCAATGGATTGAGATGACCATAAAGAAGGGACAATTAAAATTAGAAAAACTTGACACAGATCTGAAGAATTACAAAAGCAATTCAATAAAAGAAAGTATACGGTATGGAAATTTGAATTTCCCCTACCCCTTGGAATTTTTTTTTTTTTTTTTTTTTTGTTATTCATTCACTCCAAACAAGGTGATAATGCCACTGAGGTGTAAGGGGCGATTGGAGTGAAAGATGAAGAAAAAGATTTTAAAAGGAACCAGAAATCCAATTTTAAACAGGAAACAAGGGATAAACCCCTGCTCCTGTTCAAAAGACTAGAGAGGAGTGTGAACTGGACAATAGGTGACCCTCTCTACAACTATTTATAAATTTACTGCAGTGAACAAAAAATAGTACTCCAATAACTAAAAAAAATAAATCTGTTATAAAAAACAAAGAAACATGTACAGAATTGAACAATGAGTTTTTGTTGTTTGAGATAAGTGACAGTTTAAATACAACAATAGTCATTATTCTTATTCTAATTCTTATTTTAAGGAGACTATATATTTTCTTAAAGATGTATGGAGAGAGGCAAAATACAACACACACACACACACACACACACACACACACACATATACACACACTTATGTAAATTTTATTAAAGATCACTGAACATTTTTTAAGGAATTTTTTTTATTTGTGCAATAGTATTTTATAACAAAGTTTTAAAAAATATAAAACAAATATTAATCAATAATTTCCAGAACCATGTAATAGAAAAATAAAATCAAAGTAACCTCAGAAAAAAATAAACACTAACAATAATACAAATAACAAAAATAATATAAAAAGCACTATTGAAATAGTCTACCAAAACCAATGATACAATAATTACAAATTGGGGGGGGGGGCTTAAAACATACATACAAAGTTACATATTGCCTGTTGAAAATAATTAAACTTATTCCATAGCCTTCTTATTCCTGGAAGTCAGCTTTCAGAATATCTCAAAAGAAAATAGTAATACTGGCCTGCTTATACATTGGCCACATGAAAATAACCCACTTGTACTTGCTAAACAAGAGAGATCAGCCAGTATTGCCAAGCATGTGAAACTACATACATTATTAAACATACATTAACTGAGTGTTCAGACCTTGCTGTCTCAAGACAAAAATACTATAATATAAACAACATGTATGAGCTCTTTGTAGAAGCAAAAATGGATGACATAATATTATTTCTTAAAACAGTGGGCCTATACCAACAAATATAAACCAAAGAAAAATGTCAATCAAACAGACTTCTCTACAAACTGTATATCTGAAAAGAATACATCAATGAAACAAGATTCTTTGCAAGTCCTCCTTACAAAAATATATCTCCTACAAACTGATTTCTCACAAAGGATACATATTCTATTCATACAAATCTATTATAAAAGTCTTGTCGGCTTTAAATAACCCATTGAGGTTGATATGCCATAAAACAATATAAACATTAAACCCACTCTTACTCCTGTTGGAAGAACCCCTTCCTGATTGACTATGTCTTCAGATGTGTAACTATACTCACCACACTTATCCAATTGCAAGTTGGTGAGGCTATTTGACCCATAGTTGTTTTTTTTTTTTTCTTTTTTTTTTTTTTAATTCAGTGTCATCCTTCTAGATCAGTTGCCACCAAAGGCTATAGGACCCAGTCTGTTCTGCTATTCAACCCATAGCTGGGAGAAGTGATGGATTCATGCCTTCCCCAAGGATATTTGTATGTAAATGAATATAACAAACTCAACTAGAATTCAAACATGTCTTCTCTAATTACTCAATACGAGCTGCTATCCATTACACCACTGTGTCTCCAAAACTAACTGCATTAAATACAAGCCTAAATAAAATGATAGAATAATTTCTCACCATTTTTTTTTCTTTTCCTGCATTACTCATTAGAAATAAACATTATACTCCATTTGTGCATTTTTTCCTTTCTGCATTGTAATATTTGTAATGTATTATTTTGTTGTTAACGCAATTCAAGTCTTGTTTTCGTAACAAAACTGAATTATATACTTAAAAATTTTTTCTAAATTTTTTTTTCTTTATTGAAAATCTAATTTATTATTCATGGTATGAAATTCTTTATTGAATATATTTTGTTTTAAGACCTTGAATAAATACAAATTTGAGTTGTCTTTTTATATACAAATTTATATTTAAAAAAAAAAAAAATCTTTCTGTAAGAAATCAAAGATCTCTATCTAATATTGTTCCAAGTAGGAATACAATAATAGCAAAATAAAAACATCAACAGTGTCATTTTTATGAATTTTCATGCCCACTTGGAGAATGTTTCTCTAATAAAAAAAAATCCAAATAACTTGTACATTGGTTACACAATGACAACATTACATTGTAGACTAATTTATCATTTCTCTGATAAAAACTTTATTAAATCACACATCGCCAACTAACACAAAATATCCAATAAACATTTATAGATAATAAAAAATAATATTATATAGTAATAAATAATGTTGGATTATAAATAAAATCTATTAATTTTTTTTAGAATCAGTGTATATGTTTGTGTATACTATTTGTGTGACCTAATTTTTGTATTCCCTTTTCTTTCTGATATCAGAGTAGTGATTGATCCATGTTCTTGTATTTCTGCCTTTTTGTTTCCTTGCTAGACGAGGCAATGATGACTTAGGAGACCATTACTTGGATATGGGAGATTTATGCAATGCCTTGAAATGTTATTCTAGGGCCCGAGACTACTGCACCAGCCCCAAACATGTGGTTAATATGTGTCTAAATGTCATCAAGGTAACAGTAAATTGTTTCTTCTTTTTTGATTCATTGAATTTGGAATTTTTTAAACAGATTTCAACTGAAATGAATTTGACACATCTACAGTTTGAGGTTTTACTGTCATAAAAGAAGCTATATTTCCTTTATATGAAGATAGACTTTTACAAAAAAGGAAAAGTACAATATTCACTTTTTAATGGAACCTTTTTATTTGCACTATTTATATTCAGACTATTGTAGTCATCTTTGTTGCTGTTATTTCTTGCCCATTTCCACTGAGTGCAAGTACATAGTGCCCAACCCAGGGATTGAATTCACAATCACTGTAACCAAATTCACTAACCAATGCTTTAATCCACTAGGATTAATTTTTTTTTTTTTTTTTTTTTTAATCATTTCACCCCAAACAAAGCTCTCTCTCTCTCTATATATATATATATATACACACACACGTATATGATGGGTGTATACAGAATAAATTCCAATAAACAACTATTCTTAAAAGAGTGCTCAATACAGAGTAGAGCAAATATAATTATTTATTTAAAAATTATAACATAAATATGTTATAAATCACTACATTCAACATCCATTTGATAACCTCGACAAAGGTCTTAAACAAAATGGCTATTTTTGTAGTGATTTTATAACATATTTATGTTATAATTTTTAAATAAATAATTATATATATATATATATATATATATATATTTCATTTCACTCAAGCACAGGGTTACTGAGTGTGAGAGGAGAATATGAGGAAAAAAAAAACATTATTAAGGGGAGAGAAGATTAAAAGACCAAGAAGTAAGAAGACAGAAGAGAACAATTGACATTGCATTTAAATTTTTAAACATCAAAATTGGCTGGAGAGCAAGAATCTAGAAGAGAGTTCTACAAGTGAGAGGTATGAGAGATGAAGAAACTGTTGATATAGAACTCGTGGTTACATCTAGCCATTTCAGCTGTAAAATGATGAAAGTAAGATATATATAATCCACCGGCAGGTTGTTTTACTGTATCCCAGTTCATCGGTATGGCTAGACAACTGATTCCTTCAAGCTGGCATCGAAACTTGACTGATATGGCATCAGTCAGAGTCTACCGCTAAGCTGTCAGCGCATGACAGAGAAAGGGAATTTTTTTAACGTATTATATACATGATGTGTATAAATGCTAAACCAGCAGCCAGAGCGTTCAATTCTGATGTAGCGCCATGCTAAAAATTCCTTTTTACCATAGTGCTCAATCAGCGGACAAGAGCTTAGTCATATACTTTTATAGTACTGTTATCTCGTGGTGCCATTTACCATTCTATTGGTTGCATTGTACATTGACTGGAATCCTAAACAAAAATAATCAGTTGACAATATTGTGTCGTGAATCCATATCACTGCTCCTTCCAAACTCTTACTTTTAGGTATATCATTCAATATACTTTGTTCTGTTTCATCTTCTAAGAGCCTGCAAAAGGGCAGACTTGACTATAAATGTAGGCTATTTGATCTGTATAAGAGTTGTGTGGTTTTAAAATTTTTATTCTCTTTTTAGGTTAGTGTATACTTGGAAAATTGGTCTCATGTGATCAGTTATGTTCAAAAAGCTGAAAGTACAACTGGCCGAACGGAAGTAAGTACATTTGTTTCTGTTTTTTATTTACACTATGGGAATTTAATTAAAGTGGATATCTGAAAAACTTCAATTCAGAAATTCAAAATCAGTTTAATGCCATCATTTAAACTATGTTAAAATTGTTTTTCTTTTTTTTTTTTTTTTTTTTTTTTTTTTTTTTTTTTTTTTTGTGTTTTTTTTATTGAAGTTAATAATGGAGTTTGTTATAATCCAACATTATTTCTTATTACCATAAACATATTTAGTGGATACATACTTGGGTACACACTTTGCTTGAAAGCAGTTTCCTAGATTAAAGAGGGAATAATACAGATTTGATTCCAATAGAGAAGTCAGTCAGTAATGTGCCATGCGTGATACACACTTTAGTGATCATGTATTTTTCAATACAAGACAGATTTTTTTCCTGCAGTAGGTTGCCATTTCTTTCTGCAGTAGACAAAACTGTCATCCAAGGCTTAAGAACCTCGTCTGTCCTGCTATTTACACATAGCTGGGGGGAGAAGAAAAGGATTCATAGCTTTCCCAAGGGTATTAGCATGTAAGTGGATGTAATGGATTCCACTGGAATTTGAATTCTGCTTTCTGATTCCTCAATCCGATACGCTATCCATTACTCCACCAAGTACATTTTCTTTAGGATTTTCAATTTCTTTATTGAAGAAGATTAATTTCACTGTTTTAAAAATCGGGGTTGACTACTAAAGCATGTGTACCTACATGAGAGTTGGATAAACAGTATAGCTTTCGTTTATACTAATGATGTGTTAACAGTTATTACTATCAGGCTTTAGACATGAATAGCAAGGCTTGGGCTGTGGCTTTAGATATCTCAAAGGCATTCAACAAGGTTTGGCATCCTGACCTTCCCCACAAACTCAAGGGCTTTGGTGTTTCTGGACAAATATTTGGTTTAATACAACCGTTCTTAACAAATCTTATAATGATGGTCATGTCAAATGAACACATTTCTAGATCATTTCACATTAATGCAGGAGTCTCCCCAGGGCTCTATCCTTGAACCTACATTACTTCTTATCTTCATCAATGACCTTCCTATTGTCATCAGCTGATGACACAACTATTTACTCCTGTCTTAATAGCAAGTCCCATAGGTCTGACAAAGTAAAACTGGCAGCTGGTCTTGAAAAAGTCCTCCAAGTAGTGGTTAAGGGAAGAGAATAACTTGTAATTTTTAACGCCACCAAAACAAAACTATTATTTAATTACCTTAAAGTCTTTCATCAGTGTAACTGATGCTAACGTCCAGGAGAGCAACTCTGTGCACCTTCTTGGACTCGTGTTTTCTACTGACATGAAGTGGAATGATTCTATTGAATAAATTGCTAAGCCTACTACTAGAAATGTTGTTTCACTGTGGTGTGCCAGACAATTTTTCTCATCAGAATCCATTTTGCACATTTATAAATCTACCATTTTTCTGTAAATTTAATATTACTGCCATATCTGGTCTGGTGCTTCTACTATATATCTCAAGATTGTTGACAACATTTCAAGAAGGGTTTGTAATATAATCAATCTTGACCTGACATCTCAACTTCAGTCATTTTCCCACTGCTGTGACATGGATTCCCTCTGTCTTTTCTATAAAATATTTTTATGACAGTTGTTTTACTGTTAAACTAGCTAGATGTTACCATGTGTTCTATTCTAACAATTTCTTTTCTTACCTCTTTCAGTTTGTTGCCAACTATAACCTTCAAAAATTGAAATGCAACACCAATCATTTACCTGAAAATTGCTCTTTTACTGTCCTTTCTCCTCACTAAAGTCTTCTTGTTCTCTTCCACACCCAGTAGTTCTTTGCATCTTAGTGGCATTATTATCTTGCTTGGGATGAAATAAAAAAAAAAATGAATCTTTCTTATGCACTATGTCTCTTCAGGATCTTCTCTCTTATTGTTCTTTACAACTTCCTTTCTGTTGTTGCTTTCAACAATACTTGCTACTTTGCATCCCCTCTTTATTTTTCTGGTTCCTCCATCCATTTACTCAAGCTTGTCAAATTAATTACTTACTATTTTCCTCTGTTTCTTTTGTCTTTCATGTACTTGTGAGGGTTAAATTCTCCAATCCTTTCTCTCTCATTGTCTCCCCAATTTCCTATTCTACCTTAAAATGTCCCTATTCGTCACATTCTCTGTTCATGATTTTCTTAATATTTGAAGGTATCTCTCTTGCTTATTTGCTTCAGCATTAATATAAGTGTATATCGGCAAGCAAGTTGTGACAAATTTGACTAGAGTTCACACATGTAGTGATTATTGATTTGAGCAGACCTTGATCAGAGTCAAATCAATTTCACATCTTGTCCGGTAGTTGTTACTAAAGGGCCCAGTGATTTACACCATCTTTGCCAGGGCAGTTGTCTGTTTACGCACAATAACTAAGACATGCAAAATCTCATGTCTATGTCATCTTTATTGTTAAACTTTGTTTACCTTCCCTTTTTACAATCCTAATTGATGAAAGGCTTTCTTAATGGAGGCTTCTTTCTCACCTCTATTTTTTACACAAGTACTTGAGTTTTTGCAGGGTAGACTCCTTATCACATGACTATTATTCTAACATCATTGAGGACAAATTGGCCAGAGATAACACAAAGTTCTTCCTAGACACACAAAATTAAATGGTCTAGCTGAGTGCATGATGAGTCATAGGGCAGCAGTCTAATTCTTGGCTCCCCACGCAACTGTAGCTTTCTATCTGCTATATCTATTGAAGACTTGCCAGTTTGTATATGCGCATAGTAAGAGATTCAGGAAAAGAGTTGCGGTGCCCTCATCCCTCCAGTTACACACCCATTGGGGTCAACCAAATTCTTGACTCCAATAGACAAGTTAGAATTAAAGCTCACATTAAGAAAATCAAAATTCCATCACTGTGCCAACTTAGCATGGTTTATCTCAATTGTCAGTTTTTTATCAGTGAGTGGGAGCTCCTTGTTTCACTCAATCCAACTGGTTAAAACTAGGTTATGAGTTCAAACCCAGACTATTCCAGGTGCTAATTCAATTTGTGATTAAATGCCTTTCACAATTCTTTGAAACTTATCCTTACATTCTTCATAATTCATGCCAGTTTGCCTTTCCATAGTTCAACTGGTGTCCCTCTTAAATGTTTTTAACCTTTAGCAGTTTTCATTATTAATATTACTTCTCTTTGTACTGTATTCTTTTTAAAGGCCTCTCAATTGCAATATCCTTATTGTTAATTTCACTCAAAGTTGTTTTCTGTTGCCATAGCAGGGTATGACAACACAACTATGAAATTCAAACACATGATTGTTCATAGATCAGTCACCTTCAGTAGCAGGATAAACTTTTTGTACAGCAAATAAAGTCATATACAAAGTAATAAAGTTAATGGCAAGCCTTTTAGCAATCTTTCTCTTGGAGATTTAATACCACATTTTATATTATCACATAGGAGATTTAACATTTATATAGCAGTCTAGCCCTGTTGCTCAGTTTGTGAAAAAAAAAAAAAAACTTTTTTCCTGTTTACCCCTGGATTTCTATGTCATCCTCATCTTTTTTGTTTTTATTGGACTTGCTTGTTTCCATCTATCATGCTACCAGATATTTCATCAGATTCTCTTTTAATGATCTATTGTGCTTATGCTACTGCAAAATTATTGCAACTTCCTTTCATTGGTACCTGGCATCATGATAGAGTAAAAAAGAGATCATTACTAGATTTTATAAACAAAATTTTAAAGACTAGTTTTAACTCATCAGAATTTATGTGTTTTTCTATTTTAATATTCTGATGAACCTTAATTCTTAAGTTAATGATTGAGTAAACCTATGGCAGATTCTACGACAATAAAACATCTATAGAAATTCCCCTATCACATCATAAATAACCAAATATTACAATAGCAATCATAAATATGAATGCTGGCCAATATTTTAAGAATTGGGTACAAAAAAGATTTGAAATTGACAACTTTTCCATTTCACTGAAACTTCCATTAAACACTACTATCTTCCCTTTTTTTCTGTCTTCATTCATTTTCTCGCTGAAATCAAGTGGTTTTTTCCCCTCTCTTTCCATACGATCAAAATGGAATAGTTCGTTATGAGGTATTGGCAGCAGATGTTAAACACTATCTTCCCTTTCTTTCTTTTTCTCACTGAAACCAAATAGTGTCATTTTCCCCGCCCTCTTTCCTTATATACAAATTTATACAACTAACATTAAATTAACATCTATTTGCTTACATATTCTTAGTAATAATCCTCCTCTCTTTCGTATTATGTATGCTTTCTTTCTCTCACTAAAACTAGACAGCATTACTGCTAGATCTTTTTCTTCTGTCTTTCCTCACAATCAAAATATATTTAACTGAACTAATGGCAGGCTGTAACAGACATGTGGATGGTAAAACAAACAAAATTATATGATGGGAGTTTACAAAAATCCTATGTTTAATGTTCATTATTATTCTTATATAAAATGTGATTTTATTCTGTTGAGAACACTGTAGCTTTTCTGTGTTCCCATGGAAACTGTTTGGGTCATCATTATTATGGTTGTGTGTGTCTAGTTATTATTGTTCTTTGCTAGACATTTTTTTTAGCTCTTTCATAGTTATTGTCATTCGTCTTTTTTTTTTTTTTTTTTTTTTTTCCAATTTTCCTGATATGAAAAGGATGTGGATCCAATTGTGCAGACCAAATTGAAATGCGCTGCTGGATTGGCTGATTTGGCCACTGGAAAATACAAGGCTGCTGCCAAAAATTTCCTGCAAGCCTCATTTGATAATTTCAATTATCCAGAGGTGAGTTTCCACTTTTATCATCTTTCAGATCTTAAAATGCAAGCATTACTTTAAATTGATTTGTTTACACTGCTGTTCATATTATTATATCTTAGCCAATTAGATCTCCAACCCTCATCAGGTGTCTGGTTTTTACTAGTCTTAAACTATTTGGAATGATGCTGCAAATACTGGATTTTTAAAATATATCTTTTGGGGGTTTGTCTGATTTATCATAAAAAAATAAAATCTAAAACAATAAATGAAAATATCAATTTAATTAAACTTTAAAATTGGACCATAACCATTTTCCTTTTCTTTATTAATACAGGGAGTGGCAGAAATACCTCCCACATAATGGTAAGATATTAGTGAGATGAAGACACCATTGATAGTAATGTTTTACCATTATGTGGAAAGTATTTCTGGTACAACCTATATTTAGCAAATGAGTTAAAAATTGTATATGATAAACATTTTAATAATTGAGAAAACAGTAGACCTGACTCTTCTCAATATTTTATTATATATCAAGCTATTTGCACGAGTATCTTCATCGTTATAATACTCTGTAGCTGTCTTTAGCTAGCTGCTGTATTAATAACTACTTTCAGGTGTCAAATGTTCCCTCATTGCTTATTATTATTATTATTATTATTATTAATTTTTTTAATTTTTTTTTCCATTTCTCTCACCTACTTATTAGGTTCCCACTTATTAATTTCAGTCACCCCACTCAACAGAATACCAGAAAATTTTGTTCTGAAATGTACTGCAGGGGGAAAGCATTGCATTGCAAACTTTATTTTAGTGAAATATCTCATGTGTTTTCAATTTCATTAATGTGTTTTAAGATGTTATTTCGGGATGTTGTTGGATATATCTTATTTATTTGTTGGCTATTCATGTTCACTTTATATTGTAATGTTGTCCAGAATTCATAGAAACACTTTTGACTTTGTTAAAGCACTTTAAAGACATTGATGAACATTTATTTTTAGTCTTATTTCTTGGCTGTCTTTTTATAGTTTGAAGGACTTGTTTTTAATAATTTCCCCACCACTCCATTTATTGAAATTCCCACTTCCCGTTTATTTGATTTTGCCATGTTTTCCAACTGCCTTTGACCATTACATGGAGAGAGCTTTTGACAACTTTATGGCTTTTCATTGCAGCACTCATTTGGAGTGATGACTTCCTGTGTCTCTCTTGATGAGTAAAGCAAATAATTTCCATATATGATCTGGTCACTTCAAGGCACATTAAAAGAAAAAAATATCTGATACTTCCTTTTGCATGTCCTTATTTTCTTAAATGGCTAATCCAACTTGGTATCCATTATTCACTATTTCATAGTAAAGAGGAGTGTTTTGCGTATTTGTCCTATGTATCTAAATTATCTTTTGTTTCCTTTCTGCCAGTTGCTTTCATCAAGTAATGTTGCCACATATGGGGCATTATGTGCACTTGCTTCATTTGATCGTCAGGAACTGCAGAAAAATGTCATTTCCAGCAGGTAAGTGTTTCAACTTGACTACCAATTTGAACATCCAGAGACACCAAGTGTGTGTGTGTGTGTGTATATATATGCATATATATATATATATATATATATATATATATATATATATATATATACACATACACTACAGTTAAAAAGTTTGGGGCCACCCCTGGTATTTTTTAAAAATGGCTCAAAAAGTATTTGTTTTGTATTTTAAATAAGAGACAATTATTTATAGATGGTTAAAAAAGTGAGACATGATTTTTAATAAGAGATTTTATTATGACAAAAAGAAAAGGAGCTTTTTATGATTAAATTTTGCTCTTGTCAAAATAACCTCCTTTATCCTTGATTACTGCAGCACAAATATTTGGCATTCATTGCAATTTTTATTTTATTTTTTACTCTTTTTCATGTTCATCCCATGCTAATTCTGGGTGTGACTTCAAACTTTTGAACTGTAGCGTATATATGAAAGATGGCCTGACCATTGTGTTTTGGCATGAAACAGACTGTTGCCACTGGGTGTTGACTTCAGTGTCCAATTTCATGTTTACATAAGCTCTATACTTGATAGTGAGCACTTTAATCCATAAATATAGCATACCTTCTATATTTTTATAAGACAAAAGGAAAGCTTTCTATGGTCAAAACATGTTGTTAAAGAAAATATTTTCCTTATGTCTTTATTCTCTCTCACACACACACACACACATACACACACACACACAGATCTGCATTCCAGCAGTTCTGGCTTTTTTAGTGGTTAGTTTTGCCAACATTTCCAGTTTTTTGGCAGATGCTTTTAGGAAATTGCATGCATATGTTGGGAAAATGTGATGTTCCGAGTATTTTGTGTGTGCATTGTGGGATGAAGTTTTCATGAATACATTTCAGTAAGAAATTTCTGGGTTTTTTTTTAAATGAGTTGGCCAGTTTTAAGAGTTCATTTTTTTTTTTAATATATTCTTTAATGGTTTGTTTTTTTTTCCATGATGGCGGTAATTGACAGATGAACACAATTCCTTACCTTTCCTAGATGTCAAGCTACACCACATTAACAACTGTTTAAAACTTTTTGGCATAGACAAAATTACAGAAATAATAAATGAAAATCTACAACAGTGGGGATATACCGGAAGATCTCAGAATATCTATTTTCATAGTACTGCTTAAGAAACCAGGTGCAAACAAATATGAACTCCACCAAACAATCAGCCTAATGAGCCACATAACAAAACTCATCATCCATATTCTGATGAATAGAGCACACAGCAGAATCAGGCCAGAGATAGGACAAGAACAGTACAGGTTCATTAAAGACACCGGAACAAAATGCTCAGAATGTTATCAAAAAGAGCAGTACAAATGCAGAAGGATGTGCACCTATGTTTTAATCAACAAAGTATGCCTCAAAGATCTGTGGAAACTGCTCAGCAACCTTGATATATTTGGGAAAGATATTAGAATAATCAAGAACCTGTACTGGCAGAAAACGGCTTGCGTGCGAATAGAGAATGAATTCAGCAGATATACAAAAATAGAAAGAGGTGTAAGGCAAGGATGTGTTTTCTCACTGGACTTATTCAACCTATACAGCGAGGCAATTCTAAGGGAACTGGAAATCCTACCAGGGTTCATCAGTGGTGGCCACAATCTTAACATAAGATATGCAGATGACACAGTACTGATAGCAGACACAGAAAGGAAATTAAGATAGTGAGGGAGAGCAAGAAGAAGGAACTACAAGACAGAATGCATGGTCATTAGTAAAAAGATGAGCCTGGAATGCGAATTACAACTGGGGACACTAAAATCAAGCAGGTGCAGAAATTTAAATATCTGGGAGGTGTTCTGACGGAGGACAGTAAGTGCAACACTGAGATCTGAAGACGTATTGGATTGGCCAAAGACGCATTTCAAAAGCTAGGTAGAGTATTATGAGACGAGGATTTCTTTGGTAACAAAGAAAAGAGTACTGAAGTGCTGTGTGACATCTGTCCTCCTTTATGGCAGCAAATGTTGGTCGATCTCTTCAAAGATGAATAAGAGACTTGAGGCAGTTGGAGGTATGGTTCTACAGAAGGATGATAAGGATACCATGGACCGAACATGTGTGCAACAATGAAGTTTTGAAGAGGATGCAAACAAAGAGGAATCTTATACTTAACATCAAGAAGAAGCAGCTGAAATTTTTGGACACGTAATGAGAAAGGAGGGCTTGGAGAATCTGATACTCACAGGAGATCCACCAGAATTCAACCAACAAAAACAAATTAATAAATTTCTATTCTCATCATTTTATATATATATATATATATATATATATATATATATATATATAGATAATATTAGTGGAAAATATACATACATATGAAAATATATCTAAAAAATTCCCATACATGTATATTTTCAGAAAAAAATTTTCCAAGAGGAAGGATCCAGGTAGAACTCAATGTCTAAGACAGAGTAAGGATATAATAAAAAGGCTTAAACACTAATATTCCATGGTCATAATTTATTCCATTGGAATCAGAATCATATGATCCAAATCATCGGACCTACAAATTCAAAATGAAAACAGAAAAAACAACTCCGAAATCAAAACAGAATTTAGAGAAAGTGTAAGTATGAGGAGGAGTGACAGAGAATTTTTGGAGATGTGGGTGGGGTGGATTTAAAAAGGAGAGAAAGAAAATGACGGATGTCTAATACATAAAGATACATTTAAATCGTGACATATACACACCACAGACAATTCGGATAGGAAGGGGAAAAAAAAAAAGGGAAAGGGTGGGGGAGAGGGATGGGACGAAGGAAAATAAAATTGTGTTTACTTAAAATTTAAAATCAAATATAAATATATGAAGATGAATATAACGATTGTCTCATTTATCATAAGGACCAAATATTTCTATGTTCAAAAAACACATACTAATACACACAAAAAAAAAAACATATACAAGTAGGTACATACACTTAGGCATGTACACACACACACACCCAGACATACGTGTACATGCACATACATACACACAGACACACATATATATACATATACATACATATATACATATACATATATATATATATATACACACATATACATACACAAACATACATACATATATATATATACAAAAACCTAAAAATATATTCACATATCCACACACACATATTCATCTATATTCATATACACACTTTTTACATACATATACACATATACATATGCCCCATGTATACATTCATACATACATACATACTTATACATACACATATATATACATATACATACATACACACATACATATATATATATACCTATACATACATATATACATATACATACATATATATATATATACACACATATACCCATACATCCACGCACATACACATACACACATATATACACACATATACATATACACACACATACACATACATATACACACACATACACATACATATACACATGCAAATACATACACACCCTTACATATGTATATATATATATACACATGCAAATACATACACACCCTTATACATGTATATATATACACATACACACACATACACACACACACACATAAACATGTATACACATAAGTACACATACACACCTATACATATACATACATAATATAAACACCTCCATACGTACATATATACACTTACATACATACACACATATATACACATACATACATATACATACAACTCCACCGTGCAACAAGCTACTTGGACCGTTCGAAGGCGATTTGATTGATCTAATTAAAAGGATTAAGTTCAAGAATTATCACAACCACTTCCAAACCAAAATTGGTAGAGACCTTAACAACATAATGAAATCTAATAAATTATGGATTAAAGCCGACAAATCCAAAAATTTCTATAAAATTAAACCTGCTGAATATGACAGAATTGTCACTGACAAAATTACCAGCTCTTATAAAAAAGACAAAGGCAATAACACCTTATCATCTATCAATGAAGACATCTGTAAATTTGCTAACAAATGTGGAGTTGCTGACAGAATGGGCAAATTTGGTATGAAAGATGCATACATTCTCTTCAAGGATCATAAGCCGAACTTTGTCAATAGCTTACAGTCCCGCCTAATTAATCCCTCCAAATCTGAGTTGGGATTAATTTCCAAGAGTATCTTAAAGGAAATAACATCTTGTGTCCTGAATAAATATCATGCTAACCTTTGGAAGGACTCGGCGGAGACGATTAAATGGTTCCAAATATCACTAACAAGAATAAAGCCACTTTCATCCAATTTGACATCTTGGATTTTTACCCTTCTATTTCGAGGAACTATTACTTAATAGCCTCAATTTCGCCAAAGGATTTACCAAAATAACGGATATTGATCTGGACATTATTTTAGCGTCTAGAAGATCAATACTTGCATACAATGACGCTACTTGGGTAAAAAGAATAATGGTAATTTCGATGTACCTATGGGTGCCCTTTGATTCTGCCCAAATGGCAGATCTGGTGGGCATATATATTCTTGACACCTTGAGTAGAATAGTTGACCTTAACCAAGTCGAATTTATAGAGATGACGGCTTAATCATTGTCCCAAATAGCAATGGTCCCTTAACTTCCAGCTTACATAAGATTATTAGGGCCTTCAAATACTTAGACCTTAAAATTGAAATATCTTCCAACCTGAAAATAGTCAACTTTTTAGATATTACACTCAATCTATCGAATAATACCTTTAAACCCTTCCATAAAGTTGATCAAACACCCTATACATCAACGTCCACTCTAACCACCCTAAACATGTGATAGATCACATCCCCAAAACTGTGAATACGAGAATAAATAAGCTATCTTCTAGCCAGAAAATATTTAATGATAATAAATTTATATACAATCAGGCCTTAAAAAATAGTGGTTTTAGACTAGAATTAAGCTTTAATGGTGAACTTGTAAATCAGAATAAGGGCAAAACTAAGAACAGGATAAGGAAGGTAATATGGTTCAACCCACCATATTGCAGACTCTCTAACATTGATATAGGAAGTTTCTTTCTGAAATTAATTGATAAACATTTCCACAGTAAGCATCCACTACGTAAAATTTTCAATAGGAAAACTCTAAAAATTAGTTACTCATGCGTTAGAAATATAGAGAAAATCATATCTTCCCATAATTGCAGAATACTTAGAAACTACCACGGTAATGGAACTCAATCTAGTAACCCTACCTGCAATTGTAGGAATAAAGACCATTGTCCAATCGGGGTAAATGCAAATCTGAAAATGTAGTATACGAGGCAACTATCTTTCCCGAGGGAAATATAAACGAAAAAAAAGATACATAGGTATATCCGCCGGTGATTGGAAGCACGTCTATACAACCATAGACGCTCATTTAGATATATAGATGCCTCAGTAGACAGACTTCCTTATCCAAACACTACTGGAAACTGGTGGATACGGGATTAAACCCAATTTTGAAATGGAGATTCCTATCTAGAGCCAGAACACCTAATAACTTCCGCGATCGGTTGTGATCTATGCATGGCGGAAAAAATCTTCATTATCAAAGATAAAAATCGAGATGAGCTGCTGAATCTTCGAATGAGGTATTCTCTAAATGTAGACATAAGAAAGGTTTCAAAACTTGAACACCGTTGTGTAACATGTTGTCACTTATGTCGGCTCCATCTCGGTCCTATAACATCGGGCATGACATTTTAATTGTATGACTATTATGTTTATCTCTAAATGTACCTTTGTGCACATTTATGTGATGCGCTATGTATTTATATATATATGTTTGTGTATGTGTGTGCATGTATGTATATGTAGATATATATATGTATATATATATATATAAAAAAAATTTTTTTTTTTTTTTTTTTCATACACGCGCAAATATTTAAATCGTCACTTATTTAGATTTTAACTTTTTATATATATGTACATATGTGTATATCTCTGTGTGTATTTATATGTATGTATGTGTATGTATATGTGTGTATATTTGTATGTATATGTATGTATGTGTATATATGTGTGTATGTATGTAAGTGTATATATGTACGTATGGAGGTGTTTATGTTATGTATGTATATGTATAGGTGTGTATGTGTACTTATGTGTATACATGTTTATGTGTGTATGTGTATATATACATGTATAAGGGTGTGTATGTATTTGCATGTGTATATATATACATATGTAAGGGTGTGTATGTATTTGCATGTGTATATGTATGTGTATGTGTGTGTATATGTATGTATGTGTGTATATGTATGTGTGTATGTGTGTGGATGTATGGGTATATGTGTGTATATATATCTATATATATGTATGTATATGTATATATGTATGTATAGGTGTATGTATATGTATATATGTATGTATAGGTGTATGTATATGTATATATGTATGTATAGGTATATATATGTATGTGTGTATGTATGTATATGTATATATATGTGTATGTATAAGTATGTATGTATGTATGAATGTATACATGGGGCATATGTATGTGTATGTATGTAAAAGTGTGTGTATATGAATATAGATGAATATGTGTATGTGTGGATATGTGAATATATTTTAGGTTTTTGTATATATATATATGTATGTATGTTTATGTATGTGTATATATATATATATGTGTGTATATGTGTATATATATATATATATGTGTGTATATATATATATATATATATATATATATATATATATATATATATATATATATATGTGTATGTATGTGCATGTTCACGTATGTCTGTTCACGTATGTGTGTGTGTGTGTACATGCCTAAGTGTATGTACCTACTTGTATATGTTTTTTTTTTTTTTTGTGTGTATTAGTATGTTTTTGAACATAGAAATATTTGGTCCTTCTTGAAATGAGACAATCGTTATATTCATCTTCATATATTTATATTTGATTTTAAATTTTAAGTAAACACAATTTTATTTTCCTTCGTCCCATCCCTCTCCCCACCCTTTTCCCCTTTTTTTTTTTTTTTTTTTTTTCTTCCTATCCAATTGTCTGTGGTGTGTATATGTCACCACTGAAATGTATCTTTTATGTATTAGACATCCGTCGACTTTCTTTCTCTCCTCTTTTTAAATCCACCCCACCCACATCTCCAAAAATTCTCTCTGTCACTCCTCCTCATACTTACACTTTCTCTAAATTCTGTTTTGATTTCGGAGTTGTTTTTTTCTGTTTTCATTTTGAATTTGTAGGTCCGATGATTTGATCGTATTTATATTCCAATGGAATAAATTATGACCATGGAATATTAGTGTTTAAAAAGCTTTATTATATATATATATATATATATATATATATATATATATATATATATATATATATTGAACAATAAAAAAATATTGAAAATTAAAAAATTATAATTTTCAGACACACATACATTTTATATATATATATATATATATATATTGAACAATAAAAAATTATAATTTTCAGACACACATACATTATATATATATATATATATATATATATATTTTGTATCAAAAATGCTTTTACAAACTTTGTGTTCCTCACACCAAAAAAATGTCATCACAGGTGCAGTGAATGATGGACAAGCTGAGCATGTCATCATACTAGTCTGTCTTCAGTGTTTAATATGCATAGTAGTGAGTTAACTTAGAAGTATTCCATCTAACAATGGCAGGATATTCATATTGTGAGCAGATAGATATGATTTTTATATATAACCATGAGAATGGTAATGGCTGCAAAGCTGCATTGCATGGCTGTATCAGATTGAGTTTCCAGACTTTGCTGCTGTTTATCATCATGTTGCTGAAACAGGATCCTTGGCACCACAAGCTATGGTAATGTATTTTTGGCTTGTACATTTAACAGCATCTACCATAAACTTCAAAATTAATAACTCAAAAATGAAGGATTTGCGAACATATGTTCATATGGACTTTTGTCCTTGTTTTGTGTGAAGAAAAGTTTGTAAAAGTATTTTTGATATACATGCATACACACACACACAATATTTATTGAGAGGTTGAATACCTCTTTCAGTTGTATACCCTTGTGCACCAAATAGAAATACCTACATGACTAAATTACTTCTTTCAATTTTCCTCCCTGGCATGGTAATTATTTTGTACAGCATGCTCCTTTTTCAAATATTGTTACACATTAATTAAAGTTATCTAAAAAAAAATCCTGGTTAAACATTAATTTGGATCAGTATGCTTCTTCTATAAGAAAAATTCCTACCAGCCTGGAAAATATACAACAGTATACTATGATATATATGTTCACACAAGTTTAGTGGACAGCCCAAAAATGATCTGCTAAACAGTGAAAACTTAAACTTATTAAGTTTTCAGTAGGATTAATTTGCTAAGCATATTTCTAAAGCAACTGCAAACACATAATGATATTTCTATTGTATTCATATTTATGTGGCTTTTTTTTTCTTTTTCAGTTCTTTTAAATTATTTCTAGAATCTGACCCTCAACTTCGGGATATTTTGCATATGTTTTATCAGTCCAAATATGATTCCTGCCTAACACTATTGGAAAAAATTAAGGTATGTTACAGAAACATTTCATGAACATGTTTTCATAAAAATTTTACCTTTCATCATTATCTTGTGTCTTAATTCTTGTTCTTTTATTGTCCTCTCCTTAAAAGTATGTTTTTCTTGTATACTCTAGCACTCATTAACCCCCCTACATCTTAGCGGCTTTATTGCCTTATTTTGAGTGAAATGATTTAACCCCAAAAATCCAGAATCATACAGTCTCTTCACAAATACAACATTCCTAATGCATATGAATTGTACACTTGGTCATTTCAAGACTACTGTAAGTGTATTTTGTTGTAACTTAAGTTTTAGGGACTGATTCTGTTTGTTGTTCCCACACTGTTTTGGTCAACATTCTCAAACTTCCTCAAATGCACAATTTGTATGGTGTGAAGAACTCACACTTTTTTTTATATACTGTTCACCCAATACAAGTTCCAAGGATCATTCAGAGTAAAGGGTTACTGAGCAAGATTCTTCTAAGGAAAGAGAGAAGTGGGAATAAGAAGTTAACATTATGGAGATTTCTAGAATAGACTGAACTTAAAAAGATCAAGATTATAGTTGTCAGGGAAGCATTCTCTTAGGAGTTTGTTCCACCAAGTAACACATTTTGAGAAGTTCTCTGAATGGAAATTCTTATCAAAGAAACACAAAGGGAATAGTGATTGTTTGCCATGTTCATGATGGCAGGTCCTCGCAGTGAAGGTCCAAGCTGGTGGCACTAAGGATTATAACTCATTTGAACATCTGTCATAGTCATAGCGATATAGTAGTGAGATAGTAGCAATGTTTGGTCTGTGGGATAAGGGTTGCAGGGTGGAGAACAATTCATCAATAACAATGTGGTGTTAGTATTGAGATTGGACAGTGAGGATTGGGTAGCATCTAGACATGGCATCAATACTCCATTTTTGGTCTGATCTGACTATTGTAGCTTACAGCCACATCATGTTCTCATACAATCACAGAAATTGAGCCAAGCCAAGCCTGGTCAGTACCTTGATGGGTGACTATTTGGGAATACCAGGTGCTGTAAGCTTGGATGTGCAGGTGGTGTAACAGATGATGACTCTGAATTGTTAATCAGAAGGCAGTTTCAATTCCAGTTGAATTTGTTATATTCACTTATGCACAAATACCCTTGGAAAAGGTACGAAACCACCTCTTCTCCCCCAGCTATGAGTTAATAAGTAAAACTTGTATCACTAAAAAATAAAATAAAAAGTGCAGACAAAATATTCAGATTTTGGCATTAAATAATCCATAGAGATTGATATGCCACTAAAAAAAAAACAATCAAACAACCAAAACTGACTATTGTAAAAATAGAGCATGGCAGCAGGAGCTAGGGTATTTTCTGGAGCAATTCAAGGAACTAACCATTCTTCAGCATTTTTTGCAATGGCACAGAATATATGCATTCTATCTGAGGTTGGGAATGTGCAGGTTTAGAGTCTGCTTGGTAGTGTTGAAATATTAGTTACATTATTTTGGACTAGCTTAAGAGCCACCTTGTTGGGTGGGATTTAAGCTAGCTCCTGCGGAGGGTTCTTGATTGGCCTTCATCACAATAGTTAGGAAGGAGTAGATGTGATAGGCAACAATAAACTGCAGAAGAACTCAAAATTGATTGTTGCATTTAAGTATTGCATTAATATTTAAGTTTACTTTTTAAAAGTTCAATGATAATTCTTCTGCTACCACTTAGATATCCAGAAAGGGCATGGCATGTGGAACTAGAACAATCTACATCAGTGGGCAAAATAAAGGGTTTGGTTTGAAGTTCCAATGTATATCACCTGAAGAAGGCTGAAATGTTGTGAATATAACAATAAAGATGAGGACAATAGTCTGAACAATGTAAATAGTGTAAATAACTATCTACTCCTACAGATCAGCTGCCAGACACTGGTCATCCAGATATTTAGAGGTGCACCCATACATTGTGGTGTCATCTGTATATATATTTACTAAATATCTGAGAATGTTTTTAGTCAGATCATTAATATAAGAACGGAAGAGAATAGGATTGAGGAGAGAGTCTTGGGGACAGCATCATTGGTTTTGTGTGCCTCAGAGGTCTAGCTATTCATAACAACCTTCATACACCTACCTGACAGGAAGGAAGTGATCTGAGATTCTATAGCTGGCAAGTTATGGAATCTCTGGGAGACTCCTCTCAGTGCTAGTGAAAAGAATGTGCGTGAAATAATGACATGCAAACAGTATTTGCTTAGGAATTCATAAATGTCTTGAATGACATGAGTGACTATAAAGACAGTAACTGAATTATTCACATTTCCGTTTATTTATCAATAATTATCTTTTCTTTTTTTTTTTTTTTTTTTTTTTTTTAAATCTTTGGTTTTTAAAATTGTGCTAGGTTTTGTTCATGTGTAACCAGAGTTGCCTCCCTTACCGCTGACAACATACAACGATTTATTTGGAAAGAGAAAGATTTATAAATTCTACTAAATATTTTGTTTTGTTTCAGAATAATTTACTACTGGATATGTATTTGGCTCCACATGTTAATGCTCTCTATATACAAATTAGGAACAGAGCCCTTTGTCAGGTAAGTGCAAATCATTTTATTTATACTGTTTTTATTTTTTAATTTCTTTATTTCCTAATCACATTTTAACACTTTATCTTACTATCCATTGATTCCTTTAAAATTAGAAAAGCTTTTGATGGAATTTAATAAGAACTTTTATTCATTCTAATGATGAAGCAAATAAAAATCCTAATGTTAAAGGAAAACAATGATAGTAATAGGAGTAGAGGGTTATTCCTTGTTTAGGATTGGGTTTCTGGTTCTTTCTCCAAAAGTTTTTTTCATTCTCTTTCACCGCCTGCGTCTTACTGGCATTATTGCTTTGCTTTGGCTAAAATGATTAAAAAAGAAAAAAAAAAGTTGTATTTTATTACTGATTATATTTAGCAGAATCTATTTATAAGCAAAGCTTTGACTTTGCTTATTGCTACCCATTGACTAAATGAACCAAATTTTGTAAATTTTTTTTTTTTTTATGCAAGTTTCAGCTTTCTGTGTAATGCATAGAAAATCAGAAAGAAAAGAGGTTGTCAGTGGTAAGGAATTAATGGAAACACCTAGCAGAATAGAGCTATTACATTTTGAAGGCATTGCAAATTATTTTACAATAGAGAAGCATTGCAAATCAGGAAAGAATGGTTTGTCAGTGGTAAGGAGATTGACTTGAAGAGGTAAAGACTGAAATGTTCAGGGAAGCTCCCATGCACTAGTCTGTTCCCCAAAGTGGCAGTGGAACTTTTTTCTTGTATTTGTAACACGGAAGAAATAAGGATATTTTGACTCCATGGAAGTAACATGACATGCCCTAAACATAAATGTCTAAACTGGTGGACCCAAAGAATGGTGCTCATCTATTTTCATAGAAATAGTGATAGATTAGTGCTAGGCTTGTGACATATCTGGGAGACCCCCTCCCTTACCAGGCAGTATTCAGCTTCTGTCAATCCTCGAAAGTGAGATGTTATTAACAGAATGTAGTTTTTATATGTATCATGATTAATGTAGTATGCTTGACATATACTTTTTATTAATATTTAGCTGCAGTAAGTTTTATGTTCCATTAAGTCATGTTAGACATTTCCAAATAAAAGTGTTGAGGTGGGGGAATATTTTTTTTAATGTCATTTTTAAAGTTAAAATTATATCCTTAACCTTTATCACTCTGGGTGTGACTTCATTTGCAGTACAAAAAGTTTATCCTGCCATTGAAGGTACTCAGATCTCTAAACAATAGTGTGTTTGAATTTCATTGTTGTGTTGTCATATCCCACTATGTCAATAGAAAACAACTTTGTCTGAATTTTGTGAGGTTATTGCACTCTCAATTGCCTTGAAAAAGAATACATTGGAAAGGAAAGTAATATTAATAATGAATAGTGCTAAAGATTAAATAGATATGGCCCCATCAAAAACTAAAATGTTAAAAATTAATTTGTATTTTATTTTTAAATTGTAAAATTTCCATGGCTTAACTTGTATTTTTCATTTACAACAGTTCCTTCTTAATTGTGACTTTTTTTGTTACCTGTGGTCAACCTCAGAAATCTGAAGTTGCCAAAATAAACACTAATTTTAATTATAGTATATTATTTGTAACGAAAGACATGACTTACCTCAGAATTTGAAACAAGCGTGAACGTGTCTTGCCTGCAAAGTGATGACAAAAAAGAAATATGGCCGCTATTGAAGACACAATTTATGCGTGCCTATCTCGTCCAAGACGAGACGATATTTGCACACATGTAAATTTTGGCTGTCTTGGAATAGCATAAAAAGCAGGGTGCCAGCAGCACGGGGTGAAGTGTCATTCGGCAGATTGCATGTGTTAGAGTTGGACATACGGACTGTTGTTTGCTGTTTTTAAAAGGCAATAAAGTGTCATCAATCTTTAACTTTCATGCTTGTGATAAAACACTGTCAAAAGGACAGTTTTCTCTTGACACTACTATTATTTTAACTACCTTCACTTTCTTAGCAATAGTTTTTTTGGAAAGTGATGATTAGAGTTTTAATAAAACCCAAACATTTGCAAGTAAATTTATGCATTTTCTTTGTTCTTTGAGAATTTACAATAAAATTATTAAACACTGTTCATTAGATTGGTTATTTTCAATAATAATTTTATATTTACGACATTCTAAAATGCAATGTTTATAATTTATCAATTTATAAAGAAATAAATATGAACATTTTATTTATAAAAAAAATGTCAAACATGAACATTTAAATAAATAGATGACGAGTAACTGCCATTATAAATTTTTAAAAATACATATTTCCAAGCATTTCTTTCATGCAGCAATACATTGATAATTTTTATAAAATTATGATTAAAAACTTGTTTTCAGAGTTATTTATAAAATGGTAAATTATAAATATTACATTGTAAATGGTTTACATATTTTGTAAATTTTTTATTTTTGAATAAAAAGATTTCTTTTCACATTTATTTCTTTATAAAATGTTGAATAATAAATCTTTAATAAATATCACATTCTACTAGGTTCACATATTTTTATAGTCTTGTAAATAAACATTGCCAAGAGAATGAAGGTAGTACAAAATAATAGCAGTGTCAAAGGAATAACCATTCTTTTGACACAGCATTTTTTTTTTTTTACAGGCATGAAAGTTAACATTTGCCAAAGTTTCTATATTGATTGAAAACTATGTTACACAATGCAATTTTTTTTTTCTCAGGTGTGTTACTGAAAACCTAATCTTAATTACTTTTGTTATGATCTATTTTAACTTCTCTTGTTAGCTTTTTAAAATGTTGAACATTATTAATTGTTTATGTCTTCCTTTTATTCTTGAAAATGCCTGGAAATAGAAATGCTGTTCTTTTTATTAAATAACTAATTTACCTATACTATAAAAAAAATGATGGCATATTTTGTGAAGTCCTTATTCCTCCTCTTATATAATTTTAACATATAAATCTTTCAAATATATTTTTTTGCAATTGTTATTCTTGTATTCTTCTTCATGGAATCAGTCTTTTTAACACCTGACCATTGCAAGGGCAATATGGCTAGTATAGTAAAAAGTTTTCTTTTTTTATCATTTCACCCTAAGCAGGACAATAAAGCCACTAAGATGCAAGGGGTTACTGAGTTCTTGACATTGCATTTAAACTTTTGAAGAGTAAAGTTGAAAGCAAGAAGCCAGAAGAGAGTTCCACAAGTGAGAAGTTTGAGAAAAGAAACTGTTAGCATAGAACATAGTTACATCTAGCCAATTCAACTCTGAATTGTTGTGAACTTACTGCTAGTCTAGTCCTGCACTTAAATTCATAAAGTCTAGGTACCATAGTGGAAAGTTCATTTACCATATAAGTATTTATAGAAAAGGCAAGGGAACCTACATTACAGTGGTTTGTAAGTGACTGAAGCTGAGATGCCAATAACATTGTAGATTCTTTGGATTTTATTAAGAATCACTAAATATATAGCATCAGCAATTTTCAAAGCCAGCATGAATGTAAGGTAGATTTTGGCAAAAAAAATTAGCTTTCCTCACTGCTGACCTATCAGTTGATTCAATATAATCTTTCCACTTCATGTCAGCAGAATATGTTGCACACATTAGAGACAAAAATTGCTTGGTGTATTTATGGATTAAAATTAACATTATGTGAATAAACATTTAGGAAATAAGAATTCAGATATCTTTTTAAAAGTTAAAAAGATTAATTAAATGATTGAGCCTGTTATAATGTGATCACAAAAAACAGGATTGGACTAAATCAGGTTTTTAATAATAAAAAAATACTAGCAAAAACAGAGTATAGGAAACATAAAATTATTTCTGACATACTATATTAAACTTGAATTGTAACCTAATTTTTTTTTTACTAAGTTATTTAGAATTTTTGAAAAGTGTAACCTTTTAGTATTCAACACTCTCAAACCCACCCTGTAAATATTGGCTCTCAAAGTCTTACTGTGGTCAAAGTCTTACAGTTTGCATGACTTTCTACGTTATTTATGATAATGTCATCATATATTATAACAGTGTACATGAGGGTGGATTAAAGTGGATTTAACAATGAGAAATGATATTTACAGGTGGGGGGGTGGACATGTTGAATGCTAAAGGGTTTAGCATCTATATTTTCTTGAACTGATATACAAATACACATTTAATTTTCCTTTTTCTTTTCCTTCAGTATTTCAGTCCCTATCTCTCTGCTGATATGCACAAGATGGCTGAAGCATTCAATACAAATGTAAAGGATTTAGAAGATGAGTTGATGCAACTAATTTTGGAGGGTCAGATTAATGCTAGGATAGACTCACATAACAAGGTAAGAAATGTTTTTGGTTTATTTTTACCATAAAACGTACAGGTGTGAAAAAAGAATGCATGTGAACATGTTAATATTAAATAATGATAATTAACTTTCCCTCAGCCTACCTTACGAATAAGCTGACACAAAAATTGAATTCTTTTTCTTAGAGGCTGACTTAATATGTTTTTAAGAAAACAAGTAATTATGTCAAATGGAGGAATTGGAGAAAAGGAAGATTGTATAGGATGAAGCTTTCAAATCGAGAGGGCTTTCTTGTCTTGAAAAATCAACATTTGAAATCCACATTCTTACCTGTTCTCTAACGGAACCATTTGTCATGAGACGATCCCAGAGATAATTATTAATTTGTGAGAATTCAGTGTAGAGAAATAATCTTAGTCTACAATTGAACTCTCTTCCTTCTGTTTGCAATGTAATGACTCATTATTAACTAAATGTTTGAAGAAGAAAAAATTATCTTTTTTTTTTTTTAATTATTTCTCTTATTAAAATCTTCAGGCTCGACATTATACTCTTAAAGACTCTATATATTTTCTTTCAGATTTTATATGCCAAAGATATTGATCAACGGAGTTCAACTTTTGAGAAATCTATAGCCATGGGACAAGAATATGAACGCAGAACAAAAGTAAGAAAATTGCTTTTTTTTTTCTTTTTTTTTTTTTTTTCAGAGTTTGGGAAAATGTTATCTTTTTTTATTATTTTTTATAATGTCACTCTCTCTGAAATTCTGAAAGGTTTTAGAAAACAAAAAATATTTCCTATCAAAATGCAAACATTTCTGAAACTTTAATTTCATTTTTGATGTCATATTAGATTTTGCCAATTTCAAAAACCTAAGTAGATTTTCAACAATGAGATCAGTTTAATGTCAGCATTAATGTTTTTTTCTCACAAGTCATCAATAGGGCCTTTCTTTAATTCCATCTAATGAATTTGTATAAGTTATTTTCAAATTTAATTTTATATATATTTAATACTAGCAGTAGAGCCTGGCATTGCCCGGGGATGTAACAGTAAGAGATAGATCAAGTATCGACCATCATAAAGACTGAAAAATAAAATTGACAAAGATTATTGTTTAAGGTTGACGGACACGCATGTCTTAAATAGTTTTTTTTGGTTTTTTTTTTACGAATTGGTCAAACTCAAACAAAAACATTGTTTTCAATCATTATGAGTCTACCAATTGAATAGAATTTTATTATAAACAATTGTCTTGTAAATGGAATTTTTAAAGCATTCTGAATGTAAAAATAAAGAAAAAAGTGTGCAAGACAATAAGAAACACAACCTGCCAAAAAAAAAAAAAAGAAGTTTTGTTGAAATCGGTTGAAAATGTAGGAAATCCGATCCCATATATAAATGAACACACACACACACACACACAACCAACCTGGGTTTTATAATAAGTATAACTCGATATGAGTTGTCCCCTTTCATTAATGCTTCTTAATCGTGTTTTCAAATTGATTTCATGCAAAAACAATTGTTTTTCCAATTTTTGGCACTGTCAGAACCACCGCAAGGTAATTGTATGTAGTCCTGTGAAGTTTTGTTGAAATCAGTTGAAAAATGTAGGAAATCCGATCCAATATATAAACGAATAGACACACACACACAACCTGGGTTTTATAATAAGTATGATGAACAAGTGCCACATTTGTTTAACTTTTTACTTGATCATTTTCGCATTTTAGAAATGTCACTGTTATTTCTAATAATGTTGTACACTTATTGAACAGAAAAGTGTTTGAAATTTTTATTGTATTGACTTACTCATTTGTAAAATCTAGACAAGTTTTTTAACAGTGCATTCACTTTGATGTTTATGGTGATCTAAATCTAATACTTGGATCTAGGTATTTGTAATGCATTCTTGCAATGAATTTCTATTGCGAATTATTGATAGTATACTAAAAAAGCACAGTAGAGAAAAAGTGCTCAATGCCAACATGGCAGAGCATATTTATTATATTATCATAGTCTGGTGTACACTCTACCAACCACAACTATTAGTTTCTTATGCACTAATGCACATGATCAGTTTTTTTCCTCCCCCACCACATCCAAATAATTAGCTATAGGTTTACTCCATCCCCAAGTGAGTTTGTTCGGTGTGTGAATATGTATTTGCCAGGTAGTCAAGAGAGTATAAAATACCCATTTCACCAAAGAAATAAATATCAACTACCAAAAGACTTATGTGCATTAGCACATAAGAAAATAGTAGATGTAGTCAGTCACTCGATTATAATCTATATAATACTAAAAGTCTGTGATTGCGTGGTGTGTCTGTCCAGCGCATAATTATTTATGAGTTGTTTATACATTATATTTATTTTAACTTTCTTCAAACAGACATTTTTTTTAATTAAAATATTTTTAAGTTAAAGACAGGCACAAAGAGATCCTGTTTTGCTGTTTCATCCAGTTGTTTGTAGTAATTATTTATATTTCAGCTTTAAAAAAAACTATTTTAAATATTTAAAAAAAATATTCTTTTGCCATATTTAAAAAATATTTTCAAGTGAATACGATTTTAAAATATTTTTTGGCATATTAAAAAGATATTTTAAAATTTATCTGATTTAAAGTTCAAGTTTATCCCAGAAGTTCTATTCCTATTAAATGCTGTAAACAATCAGTAAAAAGTTAAAAATGAACTTGTAAACCAGAACAATGATGACATGAATGAAGTGAAATATTTAACTGAATCATAATAAAATTAACTTTTATTTCAATGGAATGTTTTATAACCTGAACAGGTCACAGGTACTCTAGTAACCTATAAATTCTTTCAGTTTTTTTCTAAGAGCATTATAAATTATAAAATAAATCATTCAACAATTACTAAAATGAGTTTTTATTACATGAGGTTTATTTCTTTTTATTTCTTATTACTATAAACATTATTTTTAGTGGGTAAATGTGTTGTAGTTGATATTGCAGTTTTAAAAAATACTAACAAAAGAAAGTGTAGAAAACATGAATTTAACTTAAAATAACCTTCAGCTATAGGAGTGGTTTCCCTTACAGAATAAGTGGATACAAGTTTGATTCCTGTAGGAGGCACATTTTTCTTTAGTAAGATTTCTCAATCTGGCCTGGTTGCTATTAATTTTACAGTTTAAGAAAAATAAAAAAAACAGGGATAGCAATTCAAACACATGTCCCTGCTAAAAGTAACATTTATATTAATAATAATGTCATAAAAAAAATCAATTTAAAAATTACTATGAACACATCTAGCAGTTTTGAATATCTCAAGACCTATTATTATGCATCTTTGATGTAATTTTGGTAGCCAAACAAAGGAGACCTTACTGCTCATATATGAACACTCTCTTGCTAGTGAGGTTACTCAGTTGGAAGACACCATTTGAGTAAACTTGTGTACAATGTGACCAGCTCTCCTTCACTCCATATTTGGCTTGTGACTTTTCAAACTAAAATTGGCTTATGGCCATATCATGTTGAAGCACTGATTCCTGTATAATCACTGAAGTTAAGCAACATCAAGCCTGGCCAGTACCTAGACAGGTGACCGTTTGGGAATACCAGGTGCTTGTAATCTTGGATGTGCAGGTGGTGTAGTAGATAATGAGCAAGCTGCTTTAAATAAGGCATATAGGAATGATAATTTATCGTCTCACAAATTCTGGCAAAGATCAATGATCTATTACAAAACTCATCAAAGTGTCACACATTCTTATTAATAATTCTTGTCTATTAAGGATAAAGATAAAATAACCCAGGCATATCTATACAAGGAAGGTGTGATTTAGGATTTTTATTATATTTTCTTGAATTCCTTTTTCTTGGTGCTTATGGCAGTATTGCATTTAAACACTGGTTCTTCTATGATGGCTGATGTTAAACAACATCGAGCCTGGTAAATATCTAGATGGGTAACCACTTGGGAATGCTAGATGCTGTAAGTGTGGATGTGTGGGTAGTATAATGGATAATGGCTCGGAATTGGAAATCAGAGCAGAGTTCCAATTCCAGTCAGGTTTTTTTTTTATATTCACTCACATACAAATACCCTTAGGAAAAATAATGAATACACCTCTTCTCCTTGCTATGGGTGAAATAGTAAGACCTGTATTAGTAAATCATTATTATCTCAAAAAACCTCTCACAATCTAAGAAGATTTTCTGGCTTTAAATAATCTGCAAATAGTTAAAGCATAAAAACAAATTGATCAAAACTAAAATTGCTGTTGAAACAATGTCAATGAGATAAAGGAACATGGTGAGGCACATGATGGTAATACCATAATGTACTTTGTAGAGTATTTTAAAAAGAGGGTGTGATGCTGAGAAAAATATGTAAAGTCCCAATAAGAACATTTTGAAGAGGACTAAGGTGCAATTGCCCTAGATATTTTTTTGCTTGTTTTTTTTTTTTTTTTTTAATTGATGGATACTTTCTGAACAAACCTCAGACACAGATTTATGACTGTCAACTAGAGTTCCAATCAGTGTTTAATTATCTTGATAGTATATTAACATCTGAAAGATAACTAGCTTTTTATGAGATCTGTTGATTAATTATATTAATGGTCATCTTTATTTTTTTTTTTTTCTTTTAGGCTTTGATATTACGATCAGCCATGTTAAAATATCAAGTGCAAGTCAAGGTAAGGGACTTAAACCTTTTCCATGGTTCCTCCTCTGTTGTTTTATGTATTTGTGTAAGGTGCATTGGAACATTTTACAGCATCTAGATCGGCAGTTGCCAACCACTGGGCCATGGGCCATTTGGTACCGTGTCACACAGAAAGAATAAAATAATTTTTTTTTTTTTTTTTTTTTCATTTCCTTGACTAACATGGTCTTGTTTATTGCATTTTGTTATGCATGTGACCGACACAGACCTCCTCCCAGTTTGTGGAAAAAATGTCTTGCATGAAACCCGGTCTATGGCACAAAAAAGTTGGGGACCGCTGATCTAGATAAACAATAAAATCTAGGCAGTATTTTTTAGTTACTCAGTATTTACAGCCAGGTCTGATTACTACATTTGGTATCATTAGTAATACTATTATAACTTAGTAAAATTATCTTAAATAAATTATTCAAGTTCCCCTTTTGAGTGCAAATCAAGCAAAATTATTTATTCTTAGAAGAAAAACTTTTCATTGTGAAATCTAATTTTTTGTTTTTTTGTTTTTTCAACATTCCTTGAATCTTGTTGAAATTAAGTATTTAATTTTTAATTGTATCTAGATTGTCAATTGAAAGAATTAAAAGGAATTTTAGAATGTCTGAGTTATTCTGCCATACAATGAATGTTGATATTGTAAGGTGCATTTTGACAATCATATGAGATGTGACAGGATCCAAAATAATCTGTCATGGGCAACACAGGCCAATAAATATTATCTCATGACATGGTACTGAGCAGGTTTAGTCCATGTGGATAGAACCCATGTCGAGTTAAAGATAGGAACAATCCATCGGAAAGGCAAGAGCATCTACCATCAAGAAGTATTTCCAGGTCTGAAAAAACTTGAATCTTGCTCTTTGAATTAATTGGTACAAAATCTCTGCTTGTTTATCGGTTTAAACTGGTCTTTCTGAATTTGGATGGCTAGAGAAGAAAAGCAATGTTTGAATTTAAATACAGTGGCACCTCGGATGTCAAAAGCCACTTATCTCAAACAAATTGGTTCTTGAACGAATGCAATATCAGCCAAATGAATATGAATCAAACCAGGGAAGCCATTTTAACATGGATGTGTCAGATACTCGTTGGCTTCCATTAATGCTGTGTATGTTCTTCATCAGTGTGTGTTTTGTTGTATGTTTATATGTCATTTCATTATTATATACACCCCAATGGCTCTGAAGAAAGTTAGTAATAGCAGCAAACCTAAGGGAAAAGTTGCAAGAGTCACAATTGAAGTGAAAATGCTAATAACAGCAAAACATGAAAGTGGAATGCATGTCTTTAATCATTATTATCTCAAAAAACCTCTCACAATCTAAGAAAATTGTCTTTAATCTTTAATCTGGCAGTGAATTTTTTGATGCCAAAATCAACCATATGCTCAATGCTGAAGAACAATTGTGATCAAAGCAGCAGACATTGCAAAAGAGGTGACACTATTAACTAAACAAAGATCATAGACTCTTGAAGAAGTTTGAAAAAATGTTTCTGTTTTCAAAGCACTTGGAATGAATTAAGTTTGAGTAGCTCGGTTCCACTGTCTTGTTCCTGTCATTTTGCATACAGTCAATGCAACTATTTCACCAACCAGCCACCCAACAAATTGACAACAAATGAATGACAAACTGATTGCTGCAAAGATAAAGGTACATTAATAAATTCATAAGTTTCACTCAGTCATTTGCTGAATTTTGAACTGAAATTTTCACTGTATATTCAACCAATGTGATTAATATTCACAACTAGAGTGTATTGACATGAAAGATTGATGAAAAATAAAAGTATTTACTGTATAAAATAAATGCTTTTTCTATCTTTTCTTTTCCTTGTTAAGTAACTGACTTATTACATATATGCAAGATGTCATTTGGGCCCTTGTAACCACAAACCATAAAAACAGGTCTTCCCAAAGTGGGGGTCATGACTGGTGTGGGGAGGTAAAAAATTTACTGGGGTTGGGAAATTTTGTTTTCAATTTTATATTCTACTTTTAGGAATCATTATTTGTTGCTATTTTTCTTACAAAAAGTAAAACCTTGTTATTGAATATTTAAAGTGTAAACAAATCTATAAATTTAATGATAACTGTGCTGAAAAATTCTACCATTTTAGAAAAATGAAACCATTTTTCCTGTCTTAATTTTAACTTTATGTGATTGAAAAACAGGCAGAGAAGTGCCTGATTTTTATCAGGTGGTGACTTGGAGTTGTGATTTTTTTTTTTTTTTTTTTTAGGGGAAAATATCTCCCAATATAACTTAGAATTTAAGTTAGAAGAAAAAAAGCATTCAGTGTTTTATTAAAATCCTTAGAAAATGACTTTTTTTTTTTTTTCTTTACGTTTTTTCAGCTATGAACTAAGATTCGATAATTAGTTTCTTTTGTTCTCATTTATTTTCCTCTTTAACATTGTGTGTATAAAATAAAGAATAATAATTTAAGGTTAAGGATTAAGACTTAAAAAAATGATCTAACTAATAAACGGCCACACAAGTTGTTAGAAATGTATTTCTGAAATGCAATAAATTTGACTGGGTTGATGTTCATAAATCCCACAAAAAAAGCAGCAGGATGAGGTAGTGCCTTTTAATTGCCCCACCCCCATTTTCCTTTTTTTTTATCTTTTACCTCCAAGCAAGGCAATAAAGCCACTAAGACAAGTGTTACTGAGTGTGAAAGAATGAGAAAAAAAAACTATTAAAAATAGAACAAGATAGTAGATAACGATTGACATTGCATTAAAATTTTTGAAGATCAAATTTGACTGGAAAGCTGGAAGAGAGTTCCACAAGCGAGAAATACATGAGAAGAAACTGTTAGCATAGAACTTTATGTCTAGCCATTTCAACTGTAAAATGATGAGACCTGCCAATCTAGTACTGCACTTTTTCCTCTTTCATCCACCCCAACCAAGGTGATAATGCCACTAAGACACAAAGGGTTACTGCATGTAAAAGAGAATGATAAGAGTTTAGAACAAACCAGAAACCCAATCGTAAACAGGAAAGAAGTTATAAAACTCTACTTCTGTTTAAAAAAAAGTGTGAACCAGTTTAAATTTATAACGTCAAAATACCAAAGAGGAAAGCTCATCAGAACAATTACCATGAAAATATTTGTAGAAAAGACACATGGAAGCTGTTACAGTGGTTGGAAAGGGACTGAAGCCAAGATGACAGGTCAGGACCAATAACTTTGTGTTTTTTTTGTATTTTATCAAAAATCTCAAAATATATAGCAGAAGTACCAACCCAGATGTGGCAGTAATATTCAAATATAAATGTGTAAGATGGATTCTAGCGAGAAAAATTGTCTATCCTGACACAGCGAACCAACTTTCCTAGCAGCACATCTTGCAATTGATTCTGTATAATTGTTTCACTTTATGTCAGTTGAAAATGTTAACCTGAGAAGGCCCAATGAGTCACTCTCTTGTAGGTTAAAATCAACCATGCTGATGAAAGGCAAAAAAGTTCTCCCAAATGATTAGGAAAGCAGTTTCATTTTGGAGGTGTTAAAATTAACAAGTTATTTTTTGCTCCATTTAACAAGATTGTTTTTTAGATTAGCTGCCAATTTAGCTGATCAGGCTTATCATTAAACAGGAGTAAATAGTTGTCATCGGCACAGATACTGAGATGAGAATTGATGACATTGGGAAGGTCATTGATGAAAATTAGGAACAACATAGGTCCAAATATAAACCCTGGTGGACAACTGCATTAATGCAAAATGATCTAAAAGAGTGGCCATTCAAGACAACTTTCATTTCACAGTTTGATAAGGAGATAGTTCAAAAATTGGTCCCAAAATACAATAACCTTTCAACTTGTGAAGAACGCTAGTATGCCAAACTCTGTTAAATGATATCCAAAGCAACAGCCAAGCTCCACTATTTTTACCTAAAGCTTGATACTCTTTCAACCATTAACACACCAACAATTGACATAGAGAAGCAGAAGCCATAATGCTTATCTGAAAGAAAACTGTGCAAAGTGAGATTATTAAATTAATTCAGAGTTTATTCAAAGTTCTAGTACTTTGCCAAAAAGAGCTAGATGGTTAATAGGCTGGTAGTTAGAAGCATCACTATAGAGAAGCAGGGATACTATCAAGGCCATATGCTTTGTGGAGATATAGTTTAAAGATGATAGCAGAAATCATGGATGGAGTGATGTGCATATCACACAATAGAGATTCAGTTCTAAGTAGAAAGGCAAAGATACTCCAGATGAGTCAAGACTTAGGGAAGAATTTACAAGCAAAATATTCTGCTTTATCAGCAGATGTTAACATCTCAAACTGAGAGGAGAGGGAAAGGTACAGAAGACTTAATTTTATTTAACACACTATTACAGAGGTGCCAGTAGTCACAAGAACCAAACTTCTTAGTTGTATGCTAACTCATTCTGTCAGCAACTAGCAATTTCCTAGTAAAAAAAAAAAAAAAAAATGGAGTTTCACCTTCCAAGATTCTTTAGATGGTTTTGGTTTGGTAGCAAGCAGATGAGGGTAAGGAAGTTCTCTCATTCACTGTACCCTCTCTATCACTGATAAGTAGTCAGCAACATTTCCCTGCTGGAGGTAATAAAATTAGCTGATACAAACCCCATTGTGCCATTTATTATTACAAGAAAATATTCAACCTGGTAAAATTATGAGTTACTGGTAGAAAGGTTCAACATTTACTGCTATATTACCATCAGCTGCCTCTGATGTCATGAGTGACCATAATATGAGGGCTTACTTTTTGGTGTGTCTGTGTATAATGGCTCCGACTTGCTCTCAGACAATGTCATCACTTGATTTATCCTCACATATGGGTAGCATGGATATAGCTTTTTAGTCCTGTTAGGGGCTTACCTCCTCATGTTCAGATGTAGTAACATTGGGCACCTCTTGTAATAGGTGTTATAATCATATTTTGGTAAACTTTCACATGATGTTTTAGTCCACCAACTGAGGCAT